ATGAAAAAAAGTGCGCTCGCAGCAAATATGCATTCAATCAGTCATAGACATACACAACCACGTGGTAATTCCAGTTAATTTTTAGTTAGTTAAAAGCCATTCTGAAGAAGATGGAATATTTTCTCCCCTTAACAGAAATTTTCTAGTATACAAAGATGCATTCTTTTTCGGCCTACAGTTCCTTTGATCACTTATTAAATCTTTGCATGCTCAGACACTGGTTACTCAGACCCCAAACAATGTTATGTATGCAATACCTTCAAGGATGCATGTTGTTGTTTTTTCATTTGCTGTATCTGTTTTCATTTGTGTAATTGTTATGACAGTGCTCTAGGCCTGTGTTTCAAGTCACCAAAAAAATGTCTTTTACACTTATCCAACCAGACTAGAACAAACACTGTCAACTCCGATTACTATTAAAGTTCTGCCTAATGTCCGCCCAAACCAACTTGTCAGCTACCTGTAGAGTGGCTACACCCACGGCTTTTTGCTCTGTCTTCACGCCTAACGACATGGCCATTTCCTATAGTCTCCCATCAGCCCTGTCAGAACCCAAGTGAAGGTTTCCTGATTAATACCTTGATTGTCCCGCCCACCAGCAGTTCCTCCACTAAGTACTGGCACAATCAAAGGCTATAATGGTTCCCACTCTTCTCCTTGGTACCACCAGCATTCCGTATATTTCTTCTGTTCCACTATCAGATAGTTGATTGAACTGATGTTGAAAGTCATTATCAGTTAAATTGTATGTCCTGTATGAGAAATTTAAGAAATATATGCACTACATAGAAGCATCCGATAACCTACCTGTCAAATAACAATTGGTTTACAGTTGCACCTTAAACAGTTTCACTGTCATCCTTAAATTCCTCATTAAATCAGCATAAGCAGTGCATTAAAGCCATCCCCATAAATTCAGAAATCTTTTAGCATGATCGTGAAACCAGTTGTATTAGGCAGAAACGCTGCCCCTGAGACCCTGCGCAGAGTTTTACTTAGTAACTTTCCAAACTTAGCAATTTTCTGCTTGTTACATTTTCATTTCCTTTCAGCTTGCTTCTGGCTTTAGTGCATCACAGCATGTCCAACATTTCTAGGATTAGAACTTGATAACATTTCAGGCTAAAACCTGATCACATTATCAGTCTTTATACACCTTGCTGGAATTTTTTTTCCATGTTAATTTTTGCAGAAGGGAGTTTAATATATTATTTATAATTTGTCTTCCTGTAGCCTCCTCTGTCCATTTGCAGTCTGATCCTATCTCCTTTCAGCGTTGCATGGAGGAATTATACCTTTTTTTGCCTTCCTGCCCGACACTGTAATAGTTTTTCTATGATGACTGAATCTCTTCCTCACAGCATTCGTTTATTCACCTACGCAGGGCTCTCAGCCCACTGGCCCTCTGAGATAATCTCCGGCTCAATGTCACCTCCTTCGCTTTAAATGAGCTCCATCCCATCATTGTCGCTGCACACCTATCAGATGTAGAAAATGCACTATCCAATGTGCACTCATCCAAACTGACAAGATTCCCAGAGTTCACCTCCTTTGATAAGACCCGGGGACATTCCTAAAACATTATCATTTTTCTCTTCTTTTGTTAACCTAGATTTCATTCTAAAAGAAATTTATTGTCAGGGCAGCCCATATCCCCAGTCACAAAACCGAAATTCCTTGATTTACTGTGTTGTGTCCGCCTTAAGTAAATAAATAATTAAATCAATGTGATAAATTGTTTTAAACATTGGCGTCCTTAGGTCTGATCACCCGGAGCTACAGCCCCGAGCATTTTTAAGCCTAGCGGCGAGTATTCCCGTACTGAAAAAGGTGCGAAGCGGGTTCTAGCAGATCAACACACAGGCTGTGTACTAGAGTTGTCTTGACCGGGAACTTTTATAACATTGATAACTTAAGGCCACTCTCAAATGGCACAACAGAACTGCGACCTTTATGCAAAATAAGATCGTAGATTAAACTTTACACATAATTTGGAAAACATTTGGTTATGGTCATGGTGATGGTTATGTAACTCGATCGTTAGTTACTGGGGGGCGATCGCAATCAAAATGGGACGCAGCCTTTTATTTATATTTCATTCATACAACGCGTGACGTACGTATTTATATATATCATTATTAAATCTCGCCAGAATTAAAAAAAAGTATTTTAACATTAATCCGATAATAAACGATGGCAAGTTTCACCTGCGTAATTAGGCAAAAAGATATTGGTTACCGATGGAATTTTCCCATGCGGAAATATAATTGAAATACAAAAATAATTCCGTTTGCTCAGTTCTTGCTCCGCTAAATCTATCTATTTCCCCCCCAACTTCCGCGCAACTTCTAAGTTTTAGCAGCAGTGCTTGCGATCGATCAGCTATAGCTACTCGTATCTGTAAGCGCCTCCCAAGTAGTTCGTGTCCGGACGGAAAGTGCCGAGTCTGGAGTAGGTACTTAAAAATGTGTACGGAAGCTCCTCCAAGAGGAACTACAGTCGGACCGAGTGCCTGTGATGTGAACGCGACAAACGTTTCTGTTTCCTTAAGAAGGTTCTAGTTCTTGAATTGAATTCCTATGCGTGAAAGCACCCTTTTACATGACTATAAGAAGCAGTTTTGCCAAAGCACACTTGGGGAATAAAACACACAGGCCTACATACTGTATATGCTATATAAGAAAGAAGGAAAAAAAAAATGTCACTGATGTAGTCTTAATAAATTTGCGTTGTCCAGAGACCACAAACAGCATAGCCAGTGCAGGCAGTGATGATTATGATGAGCTGCTGCAGTTGGCTCAGCCAGGATCCACTGGAGAAAATGGTGTGTGAGTGTGTGTGTGTGTGTGAGAGAGAGAGAGAGAGAGAGAGAGAGAAACTTGAAAGAGATGAATATATGATCATATATCCAGCCATCCATTTTCTGTACTCACTTGTTCTATTCTGGGTTGTGGGGCCCAGAGCCCGTTCTGGAGGCTAAAGGTGCAAGGCAGGGAATAACCCAGGATGGGATCATCATTTAGATCTTGTGAAATGGGATATCATCTGGGATTTTAAATATTATAATCTAATAATGTAGCATAGAATTTGTGTCTTCGTGGTCCTAAAGGTGAGATGTGCAAAACTATAATTTGATTAAATGATAATCTGATGACAAATTATATTAATAATATTTATTAATAATATTTAACAGTCAGTGGCTAAATGCCTCAGTTTCCTTGAATATTATATGTGTATTACTTTTGTGTCTCATGAAAAAAAGACACGCACCAGGCAAACTTGATTTAGCTCCTGATCTTCTCAATAGCTAGAAATGCCCCTGGTTTCAAATATATAACCAATGAACCTTTATTCGATGAATAACTCCTTTTGCGGGAGATGGTGGCACTGCTCTTGCAGAACCTCAGAAAGGACTATTGTGTCAAACCTTTTCACATGCCTATCAAAACTTTCAGTGACAAATTCTGCACTGCGAGTGGGATCATTATCCTGATAATTCCCCTTCCATCAAGACGGAAATTCTTCACCATAGGATGGATGCTGTTCTAGAATGACTCTGATTCCATTACGGTTTTTCCGTTACCAAATCCCGCAGAATTCTTCCCCCTTTATAAGGGCTCTGTATGAGTTCTCATATATACTCCTCCCGTTGCTCAGAAAAGTATTTTTAGATGCACTAAGGGGTTCATTTGCTCCAGCCTGAACCTGTGATGGCCTCTGTGAAGTTCTGAGCAGAAGGAACCTGTATAGCCTTACATTAGTTTTAAAATTTTAGACATTTTTACATTTATTTTTAACTGTGCTTAATGTTATATATTTGTTATACATAAGTTATGAAGGAAATGCTATATACATGGGAGAACATCCTTTACAGATTGTTATCGTTTTGTTGTCATGCCTTGTGTGACAATGCATCAATAAAACATTTTAAGTATTTGCAGAGCAGGCTTTTTTGCTCTGTATTTTTCTAAAGTTTCTATAAACATTGCACCTCAGTATAATAAAATACATCTGATATATTTTATTTTCATACTCGTTGCAGTGCTAGAGTTTCTAGTCTGTCTTTGAAATAATAGCTTGCATTGACATCTGGCATACCAGATTTAACTTTGGAGAATGGATGTTAACAAATGAGATATAACCACTAACAAAAGAAATAATGTAAGCATATATTACTAAAACATAATAACCTATGTTAATCACATACCTCAAAATTATGCCAATCTAATAAAAGTAATAACCATAGCTACAGCATAAGCATATTTTCAGGCATTTACATTCATTTGTGACAAAAGTCTGATGATTCTGAGAGCCTCAGTTAAATTTAATTCTATGTTGCCCAGGTACCCATAGCATTAGGGAGTAATGGCAGATCATAAAATTCAGATAATTGCTTATCAAATGAGTTGACCCAGGCAGGAAAATGTGTCCTGTGTCATTATGAAAATGCCAGATGCTTTTACTGCTGGGAACAGGCTATTCAGCTGTTACCATGTGTGTACGTGTCTATCTGTTGAAAAGATTTGTTAGATCATGCAATTCAGAAGCGCAGTGTCTATCATTCCTGCATCAGTGGATCTGAACATGGACATTGCCAGCTGTTGAGCAATTTGTGCATAGTGATCCTGGATCCCCAGTGACCATTTTGTCTGATACCGGAAGTTCTCAGTTTTCTAGATGCCCTTTCTATTGTGTCACAGTCAGGGGCTCAGCAAAACAATGGAGAACAATGGCTTTGTCACTACATGCTTCTGTACATTCTTATTCTTTGTTCAATGTACAAAAATATAATTATGAAATAGCATTGGGAGGGAAAATTATGGCAATAAAAACCTTTGTATGTTTGCAGGGTGACCAGGTAAGGCACTCAGCTTAACGTGCAAAGTTAATTACAGACAATATCATTAAAATGTGATACATAGTATTTATGGCTGTGCCTTTATTTTCTATGGTGTAAAATTATAGTTATTAATGTTTTAAATGTTCTTTATTTCTTGAAGGGGAACAATGACCAGAAGAAGAACTGTCTACAGCCCAGCTCACAAAAAGTGTCCCAGTATGCCTGTCAGAGGAGAACCACAATCATCAACTGCAACAAAATATTCACGGTAAGAGGTGCATCTGTTCGATGCGTGGCCAAATGGCCGACTTTTTAAGCGAACACGGGAATACTGATCTCAATGACTTACCTCGCACACGATCACGCGCATAGGATGCTGATGCCTGACCAAAGACATTAACCTACAAATTAGTGGGCATCTGGGAGGATGTTGTGATGAAGGGAGAGCAGCTGAGCAGCCAATAAGAGCTGGCAGAAGGGAGCCTCAAAGGCAATTAGACAGTATATTTGTGAAGTTCTGCACAAACAATGATGGATCTCAACCAACGGCATATGGGATTGAGGGAGCCAGAGGGAGGACGGTTCTGAATGTTTAGATAGAAGACAGAATAGCTTCAGTAGCTGGACGTTTTCTGAATATTAAAAATGTAACTATATATAAACACAGCAACACAGAAGTTCAAATCTGGATATATACCTTTAAATATTTATTATTTTCCACAATCACATTTTGTTATGAATAATAAATCTTACACTTGTACTCCTCCAATAAATGAACATCTATCCATCCATCCATTTTCTATACCTGCTGATCCAGTACAGGGTCATATTGGGGGGTCTAGGGAAGCACAAGGCATGGAGCAGGGACTCTGCTGAAGAGGATGCCGGGACACATGCAAACCCACACATTTCAGACACATAACTGCATGCTTTTGTATTGTGGGATAAAATCACAGAGCATGCAGGAAACCCACAAAACAAGATCAAATTCTAATAATAGCAATAAGGATTTTCACATTGAGTGCTTTGTTAATTTACAGTTTACATGTAACAACTTTGAATATCAATAACAGTTTATGTTTATGTTACTTGCCCACTTTTCCATTCAAAACGTAAATATTTTGCTGAATTAAGCTCCGGGAATTATTATGGCTAGTTGAACGTGCGGGCTTTCTGGGCAAGCAGTAACTTATTGGGTGGTATTGATGGATATTTGGGTCAGCCTTTTGTCAGAATGTGAAGGACTAAAATTGTATTTATAATTGCATTCATCTTATCAAGGACCCCTGGGAGGATCTGTTCCTCATTTCAGTAGGTACAGTGTGTTTTTGGCATTACTTTCATCATTCTGATATCAAGTTATCAAGTTATTCTGGCTGTCAAGTCAATGCATGTTCTCTAACTCACACAATTTCTGAAAAACAAAAAATAGGAAGCTCTCCTCCTAATTCTAATAGTATGTAAATATTATATATATATATATCACTTATCAAGGCTGGGGGCTGAAGGCTGGCCTGTAAACTGAATAGGATGCCAGTAGGATGCCTAAGAAACAGCAAAGGACAAGACCATGAAATGCTATGACAATATGATACAATATGAGATACAGAGCAATACAGGAATTTTAGTCACCCCAAGGTGCTTGACAAGGCTAAGTGACATTCATTATAGAAAGAAAGAAAGAAAGAAATTAAGAAGGCAAGAAAGAAAAAAGGCGAGAAAAGGAAAAAGAAAGGAAAGAAAGAAAGTGGGAAAGAAAAAGAAAGAAAGAAAGAAAGAAAGTCAGAGGACAACCTTGTGAGGCAACATCCTATACAATATGTAATCTCATTATGATGTTTCAACCATATTGACATGCTAATATGCTAGTTTGCTTTAGTTTGCTGGTGCAGCTCAAAGATAAAGACAAAATAAGTGAATTTTTGAAGTTACTGCAAAGCTCTCATCTCTCATATAGTACCTTCTTTTCCCACAGCTTAGCCAGAGCAGATAAGTCACTGTTAAATAGAATTTGAGGAAAATTGTGTGACAAAAACCATTGTGTGCTTACTGCCTTAGCAGCGATACCATAACTATCTAGGGCCATAGGTAAGGTGGTGTGTAGCTCCTTGTCCAGAAGGTCGTATGTTTAAGTCCCACGGCTGGCTGAATATTACCATTGAGCTCTTTAATCGCCGCAGGAACACAGGCCAACACTGCTCTCCTGGACGTCACTTTGGACTAAATTGTCTGGTAAATTTATATATGTTTGCAATGTTATCATGCAGATGGCGAAACAGAATGGTGACCTCTGAGGACGGCCAGTACTAACGCTACTGCAAAGCCTTCCAGAAATCCCAGCTGCAGTAAAGAAAATGACATGTATTGGAAATGTAGCACATGAGCAGTTACTTTAGCTTTTAGAAGACTGTTGCAAATGACTGTGGTAATGAAGTGTGCAGCTATAATCCTGTTGAAACCAGCCAAGTTGCGTTAACTTATCAGCACACTTTGCTAGAACATTATTAAATTTGACTTTGAAAATAACAGCAAAAAAGATATGGCACAGGCAGTAATAACAACTGACAGGGTGATAAGTGGCAGTAATTACTAATCTGGGCCATGAACGAGGGGCCACATGAGGCCGGCACACGTTTGTTTGTGAGGAGCAGGAGGACGTCCGGGGCCAGGAGAAGTGTGGACGGTGAATAACACATTGTGATCGCCAAGCAAACCTGTCTCTCTCACCAAGAACTTCTGCGGGCGCATCTGTCCAGGGCCCCGTGAGATGTTCTGTTCTGTGGATCACTTTTCAGTCAGACCTCCAAGATTATTCTGTCTCTCTGCAGGAATGCGACAGCCTGAACATGATTTCTGCTTCCTCGTTCAGAGGGAATAACAGCCTGCCGCTTATCTGGCTGCGGTCTGTAGCAGTGTGAGCCAAGATTGTATCTGTGTTGAAGGCACACACATACACATGCAAACACGTACTGTACACACACACAGTCATGTAATCATATCTTTTTGGGGACCGCTCATTCATTTCTATGGAAAAAAAGCTTTAGCATTTTTAGTTTTTCCATTGCAGTCATGGATTTTTATAAAATAGAGTTTTCCCTTATGGGGACCAGGAAATTGGTATACCTGGACCACACACACACACACACACACACACACAAACCAAATCTTCATTCATCCATCAATATGAATCATTGTCTGAAATTTTATATAACGGACTTCAATCTCTGTTTTATACTTTTATTGATTTTAGAAGAACTACTTCTGACACTTCATTTAGTCCTGAATGGCTTTGCATACCACTCTTTGCAAAAGATAAAATTATTACAGAATAAAAAAACCCTGTTGCAAAAACAATAATTTACAAATTTACCGCAACTGGGAAAAAAGGTATATGTGAAAACCTGAGGTCCACTGAGCACTGTGATTGGATATTACCAGAAGGTGATTTGACCATCAAACACTATTTTGGTCGTAACTTAAAAAGCAAATCGTAAAGCTAGAGAAACTGAGCCATTGCTGTTCTTTCCCCTTCGTTTTTAACCGCATCACAAAACTATTTTACACCCTTAGTTAATAGTTAGTCACAGATGACTTTCCCCATGACCTGAGCTCCCTCTAGAACAGTGTTTCTCAACCCAGTCCTCAGCGAACCTCAGCCAGTCCACGTTTTTGCTCCCTCCCAGCTCCCAGCCAATCAGGAACACCGAATAGCTGGTACAGGTGTGCTGGGAGCTGAGAGGAAGCAAAAACGTGGACTGGCTGGGGTTCGCTGAGGACTGGGTTGAGAAACACTGCTCTAGAAGCATCCACTCCCTCCCCCCATGTCTTGCAGTGTGTAGCTCTTTGGGCGTAGCGTGTAGCTGTGCCTGTGATTGGAAGGTCACCAGCAGAGGCACATTATCAAGGTCAGAGGCGCTTTCGCTTCGCTAAGGACCCCTTCGGCAGAATGGCCCCGGTCGCCAGAATCCCACAGTCAGCAGAGTGTTTCCCCATTGGGTCCCTGAGCAGGGCCCTTAACCCCGATCGCTCCAGGAACCGTCTGACCCTGACTGCTGAATTGTACATTGCTTTAGATGAACATGTCTGCAAAATTAATATAATGTAAATTTGACTCATATGCTCTGGAATGGGGATTGTTTTTCTAATATTGCACCATTTTGGCTGGTCAGGGGATAGACTCACTGAGCTGTCAAAGACACTCTGCAGGGATTCTGGCCTACGCTGGCTTTAGTGTCACCCACAGTTTTTGAGTTGGTTGGTAGTGGATCTGTACAAAGTAGCTTGATGTGAATGTTCAGGCGACTGCAGTAACCTGAACTCACTGTCACATTTGTGGAATCGTCCCTACATAACTATAGCCTTGTGACTTGGGGATAAATCCTACTGGAAAAAAATCATTTTGTGTATGGACACACTGCTACTATTAGGAAATGCACCAGACAGACAATAATGTTCAGCTATTCTATGTCATTTAAATGTTTCTCCACTTTTATCAAGGAAGCCAGATTGTACCAAAAAAACAAACCCCTACAGAACACCATCACCAGTAGCCGTTTAGCTGACATGACTCATGGGTTTTTCTCTATATTGCAGTTTCTTGATTTTTCCTGTACACCCTTTGTTTCTCTACAAAACTTATCCATGTCACCCCTGGCCTGTCAGTAGTTGGACGTCTTTTAATAGATTAAATAGTAATAGGCCAAATGAAAAATGAAAAATGCTTAGTTTAGATAGCCAACCAATCATATTTTTTAGGAGGTGGGTCCAAGCAACTAGATGACATCTGATTCGTTGGTCCAGCCGCCTCTACTTGCTTGGACCCACCTCCTTTACAAACTGACTGATTATCTCTCTGAACCAATCATTTTTCTTTTTGCCTTCAGAACATTTTTGTGCAATTAAAACTTCCATGAGCCACAGAATATGGGATCTCATTCCCTTCATCTGCACAGATTGAAGTGAATTTAAACAGTGAAATCGATTAGGTATCATGGCTTTACCTTGGGTTGTCCAATCAGTCTGTTTCATGTTTTGTACACTCAGCATACACCTAAAACCCGGAAACCTAAAATACCGTAAAAGTAAAAAGCAAAAAACTACATTCTTACAGAAACTGATAAACTAAAAATTAAATTCATTGCTGATGTAGATATATGCACATTAACTGAAATTATCATTTAATAATTCATTTTTATTGGTAGGTGGCGTGTCGTTAATTGTTTTGTGATTTTTGCAAGGGAATGGGACTTCTACGGTGCCCTACAAACCCTCAGAAAAGTGCACCAAACGGGGAATATGTTTCCCTCCTGGAAACGGGCCAGTGTGTGAGTTACTGTGCCATCCATTAATCTACAGATGCAGTTTGTCTTACTCTGCCACACGGGGGGGGGAGCTTCAGGGGATTGACATAAGCTAACGGCAATTGGTACTGGAGATTCTATGCTTTTTTGTGATTTTGGTGGTTCCTATAAAAGAAAAGAAGAATTATAGAAGGAATAAGTTTATGGTATACCGTGACACACGCACTACTGTTCAAATGTTTGGGGTCACTTAAACATTTCCTTCCATTAATATAACATCAGATTGATCAGAAATACTGTGTAGGCATTGTTAATGTTGTAAATGACTATCATAGCTGGAAACGGCTGTTTTTAATGGAATATCTACACAGGCGTACAGAGGCCCATTATCAGCAACAGTTAGTCCTCAGTTTCAGTGGAATGCTGTGTTCGCTAATGCAAGTTTATCATTTTAAATGGTTAATTGATCATTAGAAAACTCGTTTGCAATTATGATAGAACAGATGAAAATTGTTGTGATGAATAAAGAAGCAATAAAACCGGTCTCCTTTGGACTAGCTGAGTAGTTGGAGCATCAGCAATTGTCGGTTCAATTACAAACTCAAAATGGTCAGAAATAAAGAACTTTCTTCTGAAGCTCTTCAGTCTATTCTTGTTCTGAGAAATGAAGGCTATTTCATGTGAGAAAGAAAGAAGAAAGATCTCGTACAATGCTGTGCACTACTCCCTTCATAGAGCAGCGCAAACTGGCTTTAACCACAACAGGATGAGGAGAGGGAGGCCCTGGTGCCCAGCTGAGTGAGAGGACAAATATGTTAAAGTGCGTAGTTTTAGAAACAGATGCCTCATAGGTCTTCAAATGGCAGCTTCATTAGTGCCCGTAAAAGACCAGTCTCAACGTCAACAGTGAAGAGGCAACTCCGGGATGCTGACCGTCTAGGCAGAATTGCAAAGAGAGAACTGTATCTCAGAATGGCCAATAAAAAGAAAAGACAGAAATGGGCAAATGAACACAGACACTGGACAGAGGAAGACTGGAAAAGAAGTGGGATTTCTGAATAAAAGTATGAGGTGTTTGGATCACAAAGAATAACTTTTGTGAGATGCAGGTCAAATAAAACGACACTGGAGGAGTGCTGGACAACATCTGTCAGGCATGGTGGAGGCAGTGTGATGGTCTGGGGCTGCTTTGGTGGTGGTAAAGTGGGAGATTTGTACTGGGTAAATGGGATTTTGAAGAAGGAAAGCTATCACTTCATTTTGCAACGCCATGCCATACCCTGTGGATGGTGCTTGATTGGAGGCAGTTTCGTCCTACAACAGGACAATGACCCAAACACAGCTCCAGATTATGCAAGAACTGTTTAGGGAAGAAGCAGGCAGCTGGTATTCTGTGAGTAATGGAGTGACCAGCACAGTGACTGGATCTCAACTCTATTGGGAGCAGCTTGACCAAATGGTACGTAAGAAGTGCCCATCAAGTCAATCCATCTTTTGGATGCTTCCGGAAGCACGGGGTGAAATCTCATCAGATTGCCTCAACAAATTGACTTCTGGAATGCCCAAGATCTACAAGGCTGTAATTGCTGCAAATGGAAGACTCTTTGATGAAAGCAAAGTTTGAAGAACACAATTATTATTTTAATTTCAAAAATGACTATTTCCAATTTTGTCAATTGCTATTTCCTATTTATTTAGCTATATTTCCTATTCAAAGTCATTTCATGTATGTTTTTATGGAAAATAAGGACATTTCTAAGTGACCCCGAACTTCTGAACGGTGGTGTACCTTGTATAAAATGTACACTTCACAACAAAATCTTTACCCCTGCAGAAAAACTGCCTAAATACCAGCTTGGCTGGTAGCTGATTTTAACTAGTTTTAGGTGGTCTAAGATGGTCTTAGATGGTCATGTCCCCGATCTTGCTGCTCATTTATGGTTTAGCTGTTTTTTGTTCAGGGTATCTGAATGGGTTTATGATTAAGTTTGTTTATCAGCTTATTTAGAAAAGAGTTAGTATAGTTCCTACTGTTAGCGAACAAAGTGCTACTTAGTTACACAATTTGAATGACCCAAGAATAACATGGCTTTTTGTTCATTTTTGCTCCACAGCCTTGTTTCGTTCATCAGTGCAGCATTATCTAGCAAAGGCGGGGTTCTTGTTAATGATTCGAAAGCAGCAGTTTCTGCTGCAATATTGAGAAATCAAACACTGTGACTCACTGGCGATGGAAGCTCATCGCTCGTCACCATCTTCTCCGGCAGGATGCGTTTGAGGTTCTGGCAGAACATGCGGAGTTCAATGAGAACGCGGGCCGCTGTCTGGCCTTCATGCGGGCCACGTCGGTGCTGAGGAGCCTGTCAGGTGCGGTCGGCTGCTTCCGGGACCTGGAGAGCCTCCCCTGCCTGGGAGACCAAACGAAAGCTGTCATAGAGGTAGCATCTGTCCCAGTAATACTACCCTTTAACTGCAATATTCTCTGACAGGCTGTCTAGACCTCTTCGCTTGCAGGTACCTCAGACTGAAAAAACTGTCATGGAGATGTATGCACAGGTCTCTTACTGACCTCATGAGATCAAGGTAGAACCACTGGCTAATCCCAAACAGCTTTCATTCTGAGGAAAGAGGAGGTGAAGCTGAAGTAAATAAATAACCAGTCTCGATGATGATGTTTCTTTCATTATAACTTTATTTAAACTGACTTTTAAACACCATTGCATTGCACAGGGACAAAATGATGCAAGATAATTTATGAATTAAATATAAGTTCTTATCAGAGAGGTAATTTAAAACCTTGTTATTTGTAAACACCTGAAAGATTATTATTGTTATTTGTAATCTTGTTATTTGTAAACCCTTCAATGATTTCTGAAAAGAAAGATAATGGCAGATTCCTTGATGAGGATCTCAAATGTTAAACTGGCGCCCATAATTTAATGCCCCACGACTCGTGTTTGATTTCCATACTACTCTACTTCTGACAAAGTCACGAGGAAGCGTCTTGGAGCATTACGTAGTGCTCTTAAGACCCTCAGATGATACTTTGTAGCTGTGTGGTCCCGTCCCAATTCCATGCCTCCCAGAAACATTGTGTCACAAAGGCTTCAAATGACAACATTCAGACAAACAAGGCCATATACAGGCATAATCTATTCCAATTTATTAATATTTTGTTCATATTTATTATTATTAATATGCAAACCTGGGAAAAAAATATTTTTCAAAAACTACGTATCTGTTGGCGTAACCTTTAATCTTACCACCCACAACGTTTACTTATTATATTTCGTATTGCAATAGCTCGAATGTGCCGACTAAATTATTGTTCACTGATAAGAGTGAGATAAGCTTAAAAAAAGATTTATGATTTCCTGAAAGCTATGGAGAAATTAAAGCTGCACACATTAAATTACGAGAACGATGTGCCAAGGCTGTGGTGGCTTTCCAGTGCTTAAAATGTTCTCACTGAGATCCATAAGAGTGAAGGACAAACAGAAATGAATGAGGAGAAAAGTGAATGGTAGGTATATATTAAGTAATTAGGTTTTATGTGTCCATCTGTAGGATTTGATTTATTAAGATAATGTAAAACATTGACAGTTGCCCATATAAACAGATGGAAACCAGATGTAAATTTCATTAGTTTGAAATATTTTTAAACATTGTTTCCCAGTGTTATGCTTGGTATGATTTCAATTCCTGCATTTCAAAACCTGGAATAGCAACCAGCACCTTCCTCTTTCACAGGATATCCTGGAGACTGGCAGGTCTTTCAAAGTCCAGGAGATCCTCGATGATGAAAAATATCGAGTACTGAAGGTCAGAACCATAACAGAGAATACAAAACATTCATAAAATAATCATTTTTATTTACATAGCACCTTTCTCCAACACACACCATATTAAACATGCAATAACATTATACAAAAACAGGCAAAGGAGGCAAAAGAGACCTTACAACTGGATCAAACACTGTGACATGCCTGAAAAATATGTGTTTTTAACTGTAGCTTGAATGTTGTGATACATGTACATGTAATACAAACGCTGTGGAAGGGCATTCCAGAGTTTCGGTGTAACAACACTCATTGCCCTGCCACCCATAGAAGACTAATCTTTGGAACTATGAGGAATTTTGTACCCAAGGATCTTGGTGTACAGACTGGGGTATCGGGACGTACAAGGTCTGACAGATATCAAGGGGCAAATCCATGGAGAGCCTTGTCAGTGATAAGTATTACTGCGTATTTGATTCTGAAAGTAATTGGCAACCAATGCAAATCATGAAGTACAGGAGAAATATGTGCAGACCTTTTAGTATATATTGGCGGCAGAATTCTGGACATAATGTAATCCATTGAGATGTTTTGAAGGAAGGCCAATAAACAGTGCGTTACAGTACTTAAGACGAGTAGCAATGAAAACCTGGGTTAGCCTTTCAGTATGTGTAACACTGAAGAAAGGACAGAGGCAAGCAATGTTCCAGAGATGGAAGCATGCCGTCTGGACTAGAGAGATAATATGGGGCTGAAAAGTAAGTGATTGATCAAAAATTATACCCAGATTATGTACCGTAGTTGAAGGTTCAACGAGATCCCCATTAACATCAATTGTCATTGTCAAATAAGAGAAGGTGAATTTCAGTATTATCATAATGAAGTTGTAACAATTGGAGGTTATCCAGCGCTTGATTTCACAAAGGCAGTTAATTTACAAGGTCAGAGGCATAAACATGAAATGAAATTTTATATATATAAACATTGTGTAAATTGGAGTAAAAGAGATTTCAATGTACTGAGCACCAAAGACTAAGTACAACTTATTTGGTTTTCTTCAGGTTTGTCAGGTCTGCGATGTTAATTATGAAGCCTTCCGCTTGGCAATTCATGACATAGAGGAGGTCTAGATTGAAGATTAGAGGAGGTCATTAACAGTGATGTGTTTTTATTGCAGTTGTTTACAAGTGTGTTTGGAATTGGCCTGAAAACTGCAGAGAAATGGTACCGGAAAGGATTACGCACGTTTGAGGAAGTTCATGCTGACAACAGCGTCATTTTGAACAGGAGACAGGAAGCAGGTAAAAAAAAGAATATGCTACTGTAAATCCACGGTGCATGCAATAGTGTAACAAAGCATTTCAACATAAATTCACTTTTTGGAGGTTGTCTGTAGCTTTAATTTCCTGGAATAACACTTTTACTTCAAATACATTATTTCACTGAAAGAAAACTCAGAGATTAGCGCCCTGTTAACAAGAAACATAAGATAACTTATCTGGTGGCAAAATATGCAGGCGCCTCTACAGAGAACAATCAGGGCCTAGAAACAGACTTTGCTTGGTGATATTACCAGTCCTTGGTGATATTACCAGTCCTAGCAGAGTCCTGAAGAGTGTCGTCTCCAGGAGCCGCTGGGAATGCTGTATATTTAACACAGTCGCTCAAGGGTGTATTTCACAGGCCAGGCTCTGAGAAGCGCAACCTTCAAGTGCCACGTCGGCCCCCTTAACCTCTACACTACCTGCTCTACTCAGGCAACTGTGCTTAGTCGAATTTTCAACATTTTTTTTTTACTGAAATGTTTCTTGCTGCATGTTATATCTCTAAACTAACACCAGTCTTCTTACCGATATTTCAAGGTTTATGGTTTTTTTTTGTATTCACACTTCTCTTGCATTCTATAAGTACAATGTTTATCTGTGTCTTTTAACCATATCTTTGTACATCTTGGCCAAATGATCTATATATACTGCACTGGCACTTGTTGCACTGGTTTCCTAAGGAAATTCCAGCTTCATTCCATTAAGGGCATAACTTTGGTTTGAACACTGGAGGGGTTGAGGTTGTATTAGCTGGTTACAACCACCCCACCCCCCCCCCCCCAATTTATGCCCATGCATCCCACAGTCCAAAGAATTAGGGAAATTTGCATCCCTAACCTGCCCATAGTGTGTGTATGTTCTGTGATTGACTGCCACATCCATGGGGTACCCCTGAGATTCATAGATTCATATCAGTCTTTTTCATAGAAACACAGTTTTTCCTTTCATTTCCAGAATTGACACTCATTTTCATAAACAGCTTTAACAACTTCTGCCATCCTCAGAAACTGAGAATACATTTTCCCCCACACTAAAATCTCCCAGCAAAATCATTAGAAATGTACACAGAGGGATTTGTATTTAAAATGGACTGGCGCTTCATAAGACCGCAGGGCCTGAGTCAATGATGGTTAATCCAGAGGAGGCAGGTAAAGCTAGACTGGTTAATGACTTGGATTAACGCTTCTTATTATGAGGGAGCAAAACAGCATGAAGAATCTGAGATGTCAGTAAGTGAGGACAGAATTTAATAAGGTACACTGCTGCCATATTGTTGGAGATAATTAATACTATCTGCACTCTAAACCAGGGACAACCTTATGGGAATGAAAAAATGCATCCACGTTGCCCCAGTGTTGTATGCTTTGTATGGTCATAATCTCCAAATAAAATGAGTAGGATTCAGAGTTAATATAATGCATTGTTGTTGTAAGGTTTATAGTTGTAATTACTTTAATATTTCAAAATATGACAGTTTAAGAAAAAGAAAGACTGTCCAGAAATTACTATTTGGCCTGTTTATCTTGTCGAAAAGCAGATTAGAATTAAGAGCAGTGTTGGGGTTCAAATCCTACCCCCAGAAGCCTATGTGGAGTGCATGCGGCACGTTCCTTCCCACAGATCAAAGATAAGTAGTCTGGCTAATTTGTGTCTCTCAGCTGATAGAGACTTTGGGTATGTGTCCTGCCATGGGCTGCCATGCCATCCTTGTGTCCCGTGCTGCCTCAGAGAAATTTCAGCCCATCCCCCCCCCCAACCGGGATTAGAACGAGGGTGGGCAATCTAATCCGGAAAGGGCCATTCTGTATGTGGGTTTTCACTGCATCTCCCTAATTAGATTACTAATTAGAAGACTAATTGGCTGAAGAGTCCTCTTTCCTGGGTTTGAACAGCTGACCTAAAGGTCAAAACGTGCACACTGGCCCTTTGCGGATGAGATATACATATATCTTATCTGCATATATATGTACTGTATGTATGTATGTATTATATATATACATACACACACACACACACACACACACACACACACACACATATATATATATATATGTATATATCCAAATCTGATTACTCTCAGACTGTACAATGCCCCCGCATATTTTTTATGGCAATATTTTATCCATGTTATTTCAGCAATTTGATTTCATACCGTAAATTTTAGTTGTAAGGGGCATTAATAAAACAAAAGATCAAACAGTTTTTGGTTTTGATTACGCCTGTGTGTTTCGGCTCAGCCCACAGCATTAAATATCCCTCACTGGGAGACGGGCAGGAGCCCCGCCATCTCTTATTAAAACCACACAAATGCTCAGAACTAGCACTTGTTCAATCAAAATGATGGCTGAGGTGGACCCTCAGCTGTAAAAAAGGGCTTGGAAGATGCTGCCATTCACCTCCAAGGCTGACTTTGAGAAATTAAAGAAATACATCAGAGCTCCCGCAACGCTAACCGTGTTTACATCAAGTTACTGAACAGCTTGAAGGCTTCAAGGGAACAAATAGCTTTAATCCTACAATGAGTTTTAAGAAAAATGCTTTGTCAAATGGAATGTCATTGAACTTCTAGAAATAAACTTTTGAGAGTTTCTTTGACTTGGATTCCAATTTTGTGCAGAGCGCGCACATATAAGATCCACTTGTTTTAACCATATTACTCCAAGTTGTTTGCATAAAAGTGGAAAACACAATAAAGAGGGGAAATATGACGGATGCAGTTTAAGATGTCCTTCTCCAGTGTTTCAAAATGTTTTCTCAACTTTATGTTTCAGGAGTATTTTGCATAAATCTATAGTCTATATTCTCTTTATTATGCTCATCATCATTATATTTTACTGAATTTATACCTTTAATATTATGAAAAGGATGGATGAATGGATGAATAGTGTTGCATCGCTTACCAGATGGACAGTGGATAGTATTTTACAGTTCATGCTTATGTGGTAATAACTTTTTTTGGCACTACTTTGGTAGAACTTCTAAATGTACCCCAGCTCACCTATCTATCTGGACACACGAGACTGTAAGAGTAAATAAGGAGCAGAGTTCTATAGGTTACTGCAGTGGGTCCCTAAATCGCAACCACTGTGTGAAAATTTTAGCATCCTGTCCTCTGTGGCACTGGTTCTAAGTCTTAATAATAACAATAAATTTTGCATAAATGCGTGTTTATTTAATCAATAAATATCTTTCCGATCCTACATTAAAGAGAATTCTAGCTTCTGAGCCTACACTACATATTCATATTGTTTATGGTGTGTAATTCTATCTGTGAAGGGAGTTTTCTATTTTCAGTTTATATATGTATAATTTTTATTTGTGTTTAATAATATTTATGTGCAATATTTACTGCTCAACCTCATAAAAATGTCAAAATAAAAAAGTGCATTAAAGTGTAATTTTCCTGTAAAACTGTGGCTTCAAGCCTACAGGCCTGTGGCTTTGCTTCCTATTTTAACTGTGTGTTTGTGCCTGCGTCAAATGGGGACCAAATGTCCCCACGATGTGATAAAAACTTGATATTTTGAAGTTGTGGGGACCGTTTTTTTGGTCTCCACAATGGGAAATTCAATTGTATTAAAATCTGTGACTGCAATCAAAAAACTAAAAATGCCAAGTCTTGCATTTTGTTTGGTTACTAATTTATAAAGTTAAGGCTGGGTAGGGATTAAGGTTATCATTAGGGTTTTTCTCATAGAAATGAATGGACAGTCTCCACAAAGATATGAATATCTTTGAAATGTGTGTGTGCGTGTATGTGTGTCTGCATGCGTGTGTGTGTGTGTGTGTGCATATATATATACCTGTATGTGTGTGCATGTGTGTGTGTGTGCGAGCGGGTTTACCTATCCTTATGGGGACATAACGTGATAAATATCCGTTTTTTTTCCCTTACTTTCCTGGTCCCCATAAGGGAAAACTCTATTTTATAAAAATCGGTGACTGCTATGAAAAAACTAAAAATGCAAAAA